ATAACGATTCAAGTCTTCTGCTGAATAAGACGCGCGGAAAACGAATGTGTACTCTCAAATGCTTTATTGCCGCCTATGTGTGTTTAGATTAATTGTCTCATGCTCTCATCACTGCAAACGAATACATCTCCCGAATTACGATTAAACCGTCACTATACATTTCGCAATTGTCGTGGGCTTCCTGTCGAACAACCTAATAATTGGCACCCTCGCGTTAAATTGGACAAAGCTCGAAAGCAAAGGCGAAAACGCGTGCCGACGTGATGCAAGGAGCTTTACGTTCACACATGTAATCAAGGGGACCTCGAGGATTCGCGGTTGAAGACTTGGCGAACTGTATGCGGCGTACACGTGTATAAATGCCAGATTACGAGCGGCAGGATTCCGTGAGGCAACTTTGTCCTTTCGGTGCCGCCAGTACGCCCGACAGAAACGTACCTAAATCTCGTGTACCGCGCGGATACTAGTTTTATCGTCCGTAGTCGCGAATCTACATCTACTTGGTTGCATCTTGCGCAACATTCCCGATGTATCGATGAAGTATGGGGCTTTTCCTCGAGAATTCGGAGCATTGTACGGTGAGAGAAAAAAATATCCAATAAAGAATATTTATTCGGTAGGGATGTTGATAACATATTTACTTTGTAACAATACAAAATATTTTTCAAGTGAGAAAATTTACATTTCCTTGGAACCTTAGATTTTTCGTCAAAGCAACTGTTTAGTCTATTTAAATAAAAGAATTTAGATTTAAGGAAATGTTATCATAGTATTTATCGAGTAAGTACTTTTTATTTTTTAAATATTTTTTTTCACTGTACGACGACAATGACACGCAGTTCTCGCGGTATTACTACAAGCCTACAGCTAAAAGAAGCTACTGAAAACAGTCTGGTTTCTAATACGTTTCTAATGCGCTCCTCGTGAAATGGCCTCGTGATATTCTTTCCGCGAGACAATAAACGCAAAACTACACGTAAGATTCGCGTTACATAAAGCAGCGCGCCTTTCAAACGTTAAAAGTAGAGTATAATTACGTAAAAGCAGTATTACGAGAGGGAAATTGTATCTTTTTTAAATATAGAATTTACGCTGCATGTAGAGGATTAAAGTATTCAAAATTAATGTTAGTTTTACTACGTTGAGAATTCTCAAGTTTTTTTGCGCGAAAATATATCATAATTTCAACAATGTTCATTCCCTCCCTCCTACGAATGTTCGTCACATAATTAATTGCTAGGATATTGTTGATTCTGCTCGACGACGTGATATAGAATACGTTGGGATTATCTTAGTCAAGTAATCGGCAATATCCTGTTGCAGAACTCGTAATCGATCGGTTAAGGACCAAAATGGCTGACATAACTGCTTAATGGCAAATGCGTTAGAAATAGTTCTATACGAAGGGTATAGGTTAAAGAGACGAAATAAGCTTCCCGAAAAGAGAACACGATTTCGATTATCCGTATATTTTTTCCCGGTATGATACTTTCCGTCGGGAACGATCGTCGATATTGCGAAAGTAATTACATTTCCCCGCGAGCCGTTAATAAACGACAATGTCTAGACGGTCTTTTTCAGTAGAAAAATCTTTACAGTATATCTCATCGAAAATGTTTGCTTGAAAGAACGAGAATATGAAATAATTTCTTACTCCTTCGATCGCGACACTTATTTCGGATTGATCTCATCGGCCGACCTTTCATGACATTTCTGACTTTATATATTAAGTACGACCTGCTCCATTTTCGCACACATCCGTTCGTGTCTGCACCCACGAATGGCTGCATGCTCGCAGCTGACTTCTGCCCGCGTTCACGTACGGGTTGTTCGTTAAAGAATTACAGGCTCCATTTACCGGTATTTCACGGGCGCGATCTAAGCAGGCACGCTCCGCGTTGGATTTATTAGAATTAGAAATCTGACGCTCCATGTGTGCGTCTACGTTGTATATTAACATTAACGGCGCGGGTGTTACGAGCCATTTGTACTCGGAGTAGTGAATTACGTAGAACGTGAGAAGCTTTTGCGCGCGAATTATTAGCCTCATTATCGTATAGTTTACAGGATTCACCGAACGGCCGAAATCCGCCCTACCGTTGCGTTACCACTCTTCGAAAATGGAAGAGATACGTCAGCTATTATTCAGCTATTATTGTTCTCTAGAGTTGCTTTCATCGCAAATAACTTATACCTGTGCACTCTTATCGTATTCATCGTATAATATTCGTTATAATTACATATCATTATATATATCCTAGCAATTAATTATGTGACGAACATTCATAGGAGGGAGAGAGTGAACATTGTTGAAATTATGATACATTTTCGCGCAAAAAGAACTTGAGAATTTTCAACGTAGTAAAACTAACATTAATTTTGAATACTTTAATCCTCTACATGCAGCGTAAATTCTATACTTAAAAAAGATACAATTTCTCTCTCGTAATACTGCTTTCACGTGATTCTACTCTACTTTGGCGCGCTGCTCCATGTAATCACATAATTATATATCATATATATTAAACATATTTTTGCAAATATAGATCGCTGTCATAATATGGCAATAATCTTACTACTAAACAAATCAACTAAACAAGTCAAAATAATCTGTGAACGAATATCCGAGTCGATATTTTCTTGCTACACTATATTTGTAAAATAATTCGAGATAAATTACAGAGTAAAGATAGCAGTTGTGTGTCCAAGAGCATCAATGCAAATTTAAATTTGGATTCGATATGTAAGAACGAGGTTAATCTAAAGTAAAAACAGAGTGTGGAAAAATAGCCTTCAGATTAAAATAAAACTCATATCCCATTAAACGTTATGAACAGCACAAATCAATGTAAGATATAATTTTGTTGTGGAGTGCTAATTTATAGATTCTAAATCTCAACTCGGAAAATTATCGTTCCTTTTCATCTATCTATTATTACTCTCATCACTTAATGTCGCAAAATCAAACATATATTCGCGAATGTAGATCACCGTTACTCCACGATATCGTGTCAGAATGGCAAACGGATACGAGTGACGCAACGTTTTTTTATCGTTCTATGCTCTTTACGAGAAGGTTTTATGCTCTCTACGTCGGACGAAACGGAACTAAAGCGGAATGTTGCAAAATAAAAGATTTTGTGGCGGAAAGTAATAAGTCGTAATGTGGAGCTCACATCCGGGAACACTAATTTATTAGCGTGCCCTTCCGTGGAAAATCAATGCGATTTACAGCATGCACTACTACTGTGATACGCGCTGTGCGCGTTGGAATTTAACGCTCACCATTTTGCGTCGAAATCCACCGATGTCCACTCAAGTCCGCCGACGACGAAACTCGTCGCTGCATCCCTCCGCAACCAGAACTTCGTAGTGTCCAGTCTCCGCTCGGCATCGTCCCATGTCGATGGCACTTCACTACACTCGCTGCAATGCACTCGCGACACGATCGATATTTACATGATATTTATTTTAACGGCGTTCACCCGAGCATCTCGACGGCATCAATGAAATACACTGTCATTGCAATTTTCAGTGTCGTCCATTATTATCGTTTCCGATGTTACTTCATAAAAAGAACGATTCGAAAAAATATTGTAATTGTAATCATACAATTACGATTTTTTACATAAAAAAAATAAAATCTATTTTTGTATTTCCTTGATATCTTTTTTCTGTTATGATTGATAAATGAGAAAAAAGTTACGATTTTACAGTTGCGATATCTCTCTCACCGTGTCACGCGCGATGCCGTCGGTTTACTTCAAGACGGAATTTGCGAATTTATTTGACGAAAGACGAAATCGAATTTGCCAATTCATTAAACGAATGAACGTCTGTCGCGATACGATAAATGTCGAAAGTTCAGAAACATACTCGCGGTACGATAAATTTCGGCACTTCAGAATCACGGTGCGAGTCGCGTGTAAAAAATCGCGAATTAAGGACCGAGCACGAGAGCAAAGTTTCTCGACGCGGTACGCGCGCAAAGGAATCGCAATTGGTACGAGGTTCTCACGCATTATGGCTTCGCTACACTTTGTACGAAGACACAGCTTCGCAATATTTGTGCGAAAACACAGCTCCGCAATATTTTTTCGAAGACTTCCGCGATATCAGAGCGAAGTATACTTTTGTAACTCGCTCGTGAATTTAATGTATGTAAAACGATAAATTGACGTCTCTAACAAACATAATTGCGACCTAAACGTATGCGTAAAAAATCTGAAACGAGAAATCGCGACAACCGTCAAATCTATCATCGTGAAAAAACACGAGAAAAATATAATAGCAATTACTATATAAATTCTCATTTCTTCGACAAGTGTAATCTGTATGTGTAAAAAAGTCTCAGGCAAAAGCTTTCACCATACACAAGAGATCCGTACTCAATCTCGCGCGTAAAATTTTGTTTACAATATCGAAACTTAACGGTGTCACGATGATTGCGACCGAAACAAAACAAGACCCGTGAAATTGTGGACCAGAATTTCTTTTGCATATTCCAAATACTCTGTGATATTATAACGAATTTAATTTAGTAAGATGTGCGTCTATTTATGGAATATAGTTACGTCGCGAAAACACGTGTAAGAAGTTAGAGAAGCTAAATACGGTGACAATCGTAAAATCAATAAACGCGAGCAAAATAATCGTGAGTTTTATGAGCGTTAGTGAAATCCTGATGCGCATTGTGCATACTGTTAAAAACATTCGGGAGATCATATTAAATAAATAGTTCTATTGTATGATTGTGTAGCTTGAATCAAATTTTGATTTTTTTTTTTAATATAGCATATCTATATGAATATATTTATTAAAAACTGAGATTACTTATTAAAAGGTCTGATCAATAATTTAAATGTTTAAACAATAATGTATAAGTAACAATAATATATAAGAGGAAATAATATCCCAATTGTTTTGAGAAGTACATTTGATGGCACGAACACATACATGTAAAAATTCTACGTAAATCGCATTACAATATATATATTTTTTTTTCTCTACATATACAGTATACGAATCCACCACCATAAATAATTGTACTGATTTCAGTACTCTTTTGTTACCTAAATACCTGGAGTCAGGACCGGCTACTTCGGATACACGATCTAGAACAAAAAAGGAGACAGTTTCGTTAGTTAGACTTAGGGATTTGGTTGGGAGAACAAGTACACATAGGCAAGAGAGCGGATTAACCCTTCGCGGTCGTAACTCGGGTCGTCCTGGTTTTCTACCGCAAAGGGTTAAGGAAAGAAGTGCAATGAGTCTGAGAACGTACCTTCGAGCCCTTCCTGATGTGCACGAACTGGCTCCTCCGGTGCTGCATTTCTGCGTCTCTATATCACCAGATAGTACGTCCCTCGAAACTTGCGCGTGATGGTGGATACAGTCAGATCTGTAACCGAAAAATAAATTTTCCTGATTAGTTATAATTCAATTTATACAAATAGAAAATAGGGGAAGGAAAATAATCGACCATTTCTTTTAAAAAATTAATAAAGATAATATAGCAACCTTTGATGAATTATTAATCGTCTAATCTCAACATTTCAGTAAGCTGTTTACAATGATCCCAGTATAACAATAATCGCGACACGAATATCGTAAAATCTTGTTTTACACAAATTCTAAATAATTTAATAAGATCGAAAATCACAGACAAAGTCTTGATGTGTTCATTCATCGACGGTAAGACCTGTTATGATTGCGACTGAGCTTGCGCTTTACGGCGTTTGTTGTTATTCCGAAGAGCGCGCGGCGTTCGGGAATAACAACACACGCCACATCACTACAAATCCAAGTATGTCATACTTAAATACATAAGAGTGTAATTTAACTGAAACTTTCTTTACACGTTTCTTGCAAGTTTAAATCGCGTTTCAAACCACGGCATTTAATACGTCTAAGATCTGTAAATAATTTAATATGTTTAAACATTTAAACGTATTAATACACATATGTGAAGTGATTTAAAACGGTAAGAAAAAATTGAGCCAAAATAACACGCTTGGATTTGCATTATTGCTGTTTATAAACAACGTCATACGACTGTTTAAATTATTTAACATACGCTACCTAAATATTCACGTACATGAATATACTACATATTCCGCGTGTGAAACAAAATACTTGGTGAAAGTTCTATTTTCGAAGTTTCAAATTCTTATTTTTAATCAAAGAATACAAGTCAATTTTAATCTTTCAGAAGAATGAGAGTTCACTTTATTTATGTCTCTTATGACATATTGCTCTGTCTTGATGTATTGTAAATGTTCCTCTTTAATTTAATCTAAGTAACATGTGATATTGACCACGTAAATTTACAATGCTCCAACTACAAAGGCTTACATGTGTGAGTATAGGGATTCTGTAAACTCACCTTTTGACCTGACCGTGTCCAGCTCGAACTGGATCCTCTGAAACAACACCTGCATCCTCTGGAACCGAATCCCTCGGAACTCCAACTCTATCACCATCACCTCCTCTTCCTCCTCCTCCTCCCTACTTTTCATTCTCCTCCAGCAATTGTAACTGTTGTATGATGGTAAACTTTGCCAGATCTATAATAGAAAAGAAAATCGTTTTTCTAATTAGTTACAATTCGATCTAAACTAACGAGAAGTAGGTGAAAATAGAAAGAAAATGCCGATTATTTCTTTTCAAAGTCTGATAAAGAACGAAATATAATAATGACCTAACCTCAGCATTTTTAGTATGTTTCCACTGTTCATAATGATTTCAGTAGAACGATGATTACGACGCGAATATCGTGAATTCTTATGTTTTACGCAAACTATAAATAACAAGATCGAAAATCTCGGAAAAAATCGTCTTGACTCATCGACAGCACGATCTGTTATGATAACGACTAAGCTCGACGCTTGAGTTGTCTGTGTGTGTTGTCAACCCGAAGGTCGCACTGTGTCCGGTGCATCGCTTACCGCTTGTAAACACCATGTCACACGACGTTTCTGGGTTATTTAACGTATTTAAAATATACATATATAACCTGCAAGTTTTAGTAAACCCACTGCTCGCGGCAATCCCGACAGCACAATGATCACGCCACTATGTGAAGTCTTATTTCGTACAATCTCGGGTGAATTTAATACGACCGAAAATAACATACCAAATTAATATTGATGTATTCATTCTCCGGCAACAGAATTCGTTAATGACTTCGACGCCCTCTATTTCCCCGGAGTTTCCCGCGTGTATTATCATACAGATGTCACGCAACATCTAACGCGACATGCTTAATTATCGTTCCATAGCAGGACACAACTTTTTGCCTACGTGCGTTATCTTAAAAAATGTATGTATAACGTCTATTAAATATTTCGTGCTTTGTATGAAATTAAATATTCGCGAAAATATTATTCTGAAAATTTTTGATTATAATTTTTAACTTAAAAATATGAATTGATATTAATATTTCAAAAGAACAGAAATCTTTCTTATATTCGTGTCTCTTATATTAGATTACCCGACTCTGACGTACCGAGAATACTTCTGTTTTAAATTTAATCAAAGCAAGATGTGGTAGTAACCCTTTAAATTTACGATCTTCTGACTACAAAGGCTTCAATGTAGGAGTATAGGGAGTCTGTGAACTTATCTTCTGTCCCAACCGTGTTCAATCTGAACTATATCCTACAGTACTACAGCATCTGCATGCTCCGAAATCGTACCTACTGTGTAGTCGGGCAAGTTCTGCTAGATCTGAAACAAACAATATAGTTTCCATAATTAGTTAATTCTAGACGAATTAAGATTAGAGAGGTTATGATTATAAAAATATCGAAAATAAAAGAAAAGACAAAAGTTACTTACGTGTCTCGCATTAGATATTTTATTACTCCTTGTGCAAGTGACAGCTAAAAATGATGTTGATTGTTATGTTAATTGCGGTTTTTCAACGTAAACAGATCAACGACAGGCGCGCAATTACTCATGTATGCTGAAAAAATATGCCAAAACGTGAACAACACTCTCTCTCTCTCTCTCTCTCTCTCTCTCTCTCTCTCTCTCTCTTTTTCTTTG